TGATTGAAATTTTTATCTTTCTGTTGTTAGACCTCATTAGGAAGCAGTAAAATACAATATAGTGAGATCCCGTATTCTTATACTGTCTGGTGGTGATACCTAAAGAAATTAATGATATGAATATCTTGTCATTTGCCTTAGTACTATTTTTATTTGAACAATTAAATAGCCATGACTTTGCACTGTGGTTAGAATGGCTGCGTAAGAATTTTAGGTGGAACTCTGTGTTGTTACTGACACTAATTTAAGCTTAATTTTGCAGGTCATTAATGATCCTATCCATGGCCATATTGAGCTACACCCTCTTCTCATCCGAATCATCGACACACCTCAGTTTCAGCGGCTTCGATATATTAAACAGTTGGGAGGCGGCTACTATGTTTTTCCAGGAGCGTCACACAATCGGTTTGAGCATAGTCTAGGGTAAGAAGGGAAGGAGAACTTGTTTTTTCATACCTTCTGCAGCCAGGTATGGTGACATGCACATTTAATCCCAGCTACTTTCAAAACTTGGGTAAAAGAATCCCTTCATCCCACCAGTTTGAGACCAGCCTAGACAAAATAATGAAAAGCATCTCAAAAATAAAATAAAACCCAGTAATTATCTCTTTTCTCTCAACTGAAATAGATGTTTCCCGTTATGTCTAAGAGAGTAGTTCTACAAAATGGTAATACCATTATTTTATTGTTGAGAAAACTGAGGCTTTTGATTTACATGTGCTGTAGACTATTTTGTTTATATACTGGTTGAAACTATTAATATGTTTCCTGGAAATTTTGGGAAGTTAGTTGAATATTTGTGTCTAGATATTATTTATTTTATTTTTATTTATTTTTTCTGTATTTTTAGGGAAGGGTGTACAGGGTGTTCAGGGTCTCACTACTAGATTGGACTTGTAGTGATTCTCCTGTTTACAGCCTCCCAAGTGCTGGGATTACAGGCTTGCTGCACCACGCCCATTCTCAATCACACCTGGGGATTGAACCCCCAGCCCCTGTGCCAGCTTGCAGTCACTTTAATCTGTTGAGCTATTGGCCAGCCCTTAAATATTATTTAAAAGCTAATGGTATGTACATCAGGGAAGCACTGATAAGCCTAGACGCAGTGACACCTCTGTTGCATACTGTGAAAGTGAGATGAGATTTTAATTTCTTTTTCTGGTGTAAAATGTTGAACCGAAAGGACATAGGCAGGAAAGAACTAGTTTTCTAGATTTGCAAGGAAGTACTCACAGTGCATTATTCTGGGTGATGTGTGTATATGTGTTTGTATGTGTGTGCTTTATACTTTTAATTAGTTGACACGTATCTATATTTCAGTTTTAACAAATATTTATTGAACAGCTGTTAACCCCAGCAAACCATGCATGAAGAAGATAGCAACCCTCATGGGTTCAGAGTTCAGGGTAGCTGAATCCCCTTGGATCTCAGAGTTCATGGGAGAGAAAGATTGTTTTCTTTTTAGACAAGATGTTTAAAGAGAAGTGCTGAAAATGCATTTAACATTTGTTAAGCATTTTCTTTTCTTTTTTATGGTGGTGGAGGTTAAACTCAAAGGCAGAATCTCACCAATGCTAAGCCAGCTCTTTAGCACAAAGCCACATCCATAGCCCTGTCAAGTACTTTATGTTCACTCTGTGTTCTAGTAGAGATTCGTGCTATTTTAGAAATTGTGGGCCGGTTGTGGTAGACAGCACTCCGGAGGATGGGGCAGGAAGAGAACCATGAGTTTGAGGCCAGCCTGGGCTGTGAGTCCATGACCAGTCCAGCTACTTAGCAGGAGCCTGTGTCCAAAAAATAAAAAAGTAAAAAGTTGTGGTAAAAAAAACAGAGCATGTAGTTCAGCAGTGTCAAGTACATTTTCTCTGTTGTGCAAGAAGGTCACTTTGAGAACTGAAACTGTGTGCCCGTTAAGCAACAACTTCTAAAGGGAAGAAAATGTTCCACTGAGAAGTGGAATAAGGAGGAGACTGGGCGTGGTGGTGAGTGCCTGTAATCCCAGCACTTGGGAGGCTGCAAACAGGCGGATCGCTAGGAGTCCATCTAGTAGTGAGACCCTGAACACCCTGCAGACCCTTCCCTAAAAAAAAAGAAAAAAAGAAAAAAGAAGAAGGAGAACAAGGAGGGTGAAAGGAAGGCACAAGATAGAAAAGATAATAAAAGGAGACGGGGCCAGGGAGATGGCTCAGTAGAATAAGTGCTTGCCTGGCAAGCACAGGGGCCTGAGTTCAATCCCTGGCTCCA